AATCAAGAAAATATAATAATATCAAATGTGCCTGCTATGACGACGGAAAAGAGAGGGAAGTGGAGAAGGAAGAGTAAGTGGTGGTGGTGAAAAACAGGGAAGTTATAATGATCGGTAACAAGTTCTAAGCTTTCTTAGTTTTTCGCTCTTATTTTTTTAGGGTATATAATCTGTTAACTATAGCTTTAACAGCTTTTTTTTTTTGTTTGTAAATCACTATGCTGTTTTGAACTGTTGTTTTCTTGAACTTGCTTACTTAAATTTTCTTTTTTTCTATTGTTTTTTTTTGTTAAGGATACAGTTTTTTTGATAATTCAATGAGGAATAAGAAAAGCGTATGTTGTATGAGTAACTTGAGAAGTACTCTATAACAAATGTTGTCTATATCAACATCATCATCACCATCATCATCAGCACCATTCAAGTTGTCTACAATTCATTTAGTTTTTGAGAAGCCTATTTGTCATTCCTTGTAAATTGTTGCTTGTTGTTTCGATGATCTACTTCCACTTATACTTCTAAAAAACTCTTTTAAACCTTAGTTATTATTCATGCCAATTTGTAAATATGACATGTTACATCTAGACTTCTTTCTCTTTTCTTAATCATAATCATCATTTCTATTTTTCATACATTTCTTTCTCTTCTCAGGCATACTTTTCTTCAAAAAAAAAAAGAAAAAGAAATAAAACTTTAAAACTTTTTTGCTGAAATACTTTCTAAGCTTTAGAGCAATACCAAGTCTTTGTAACTGCTTCGAATCTATAACTTTTATCACTCTTTCGCCTAAAAAATTTTATTATATTTGGTTTGGAACTTTAACTACTTTAGTGACTAAAATTTGCAACGAGGCTTCTAATGTGTTCAAATTAATCGCGAGAATAAACTGATATTGGCCACAACTAAGTCTTTAATGGGTTTTATTGCTCTTTTTTGTTTTTTGTGCTTACGATAACTTGTTTAGGAATACTGATGATGAACTGAATACCTAATTTATTGTTACTTTAAAGTCCAAAAAACAAACGCTTTGTTCCTGTTTTCAGTAATTAAAAAGCGTAGTTTTCTATGGCAGTTTTTTTCTATTTCAAATTTTAAGTTGATATTTGATAGTGTTTTTTTTATATTGATTTTAGCATTGATCTACAGCTGAGGATATAAATATGTGAACAGTGGTTAATGCAAGTGTAAATGACAATCATCCTATTTGCGCTTTTTTCCACAGTGCTATGCTCGAGATCCGAGGTGCAGCTTCGGCAGAAGCTTATGGAACAATATAACCCATTGGAAAGACCAGTGAAGAATTACTCGGATAAAGTGGTAGTAACGTTGGGTATAGCTTTACAGCAAATTATCAGCCTTGTCAGTTTTTGATTCTTTCAAATCAACATTATTTACACTGTTGTCGTTCCGATGCTTTTTTAGTAATATTGTTCAATAAATAGTTAAATTCTTCTTTTTTTTTCTAATGACGTTTTTAGAGATAGAAAAGATTTAAAGTTTACAGCTGACATTCAGTAAGCCTATCGTTTTTTTAAGTAGAAAGCCTATTAAAACAAAGATTAATTCCGC